AAATGCTATACATGTTAATGCTAATGCTATGAAAAGAACGTTGTACAGATGAATAGGCTTTTGGAGCATGTCCACATGAATTTTTCAAAATTTTTAGGTTGGACTATTTGAACTCCAACAGACTTATTCTGAATTAATTTCTTTTATACATGTTCAAAAGAAAGAATTGATTGGCATTTTTTAGTACGACATTGAAACAAAGGATTTTTTTAGCGAAAATATTTTCTTATAAATTCTTTGTTTCTGTATGTGGTTGCTAGATTAATCCCGCCAAAATAATCAAAAATATAAGCATTGCTCTGCGAGATTTTTGAATATTCATAGGCGCTAGCTTGTATCGCCCTAAGAGTTTTCGTGGCTACCTCAAAATCTCGAATTTTGAAGCGAAGGTTTTGGAAGCTTGGTTCTCCAAGTCTAGGCAATGAAGGGGTTATAGCCGCTACTTTTTCTCTGCCTATAGTACTTACGGGTGTTTATCGTAATAAAGCCTAATTCCACTTTTTAATTTGGAAAGTTCTGGATTTGAGTTTAGGATTCAAAAGTTATTGAACTGAATGTAGGTGTGCAAGTATTTTCGCATTAATCTAGTATTCAATCGTTCTAACTGGATACACTGTTTAGTTGTACAGTTGTAAAGTAAGTAGTATAAAGAAGCAACACTGGAACAGACCTGTTTCCGTTACTTTACTATTTAATAGCTGTCAGGTAGCTCACATTACGAATTTCGCTAATTTTCTGGCTCTGGCTGCTTCCGTCCATTTATATAGTCGACTAGCATGGAAAAGTAACTGAAGCTTTTGCCCCCCCCCCCTCAATAGGATCATCCGCTTCTTTGGGTATTATCTTCCATTCTTTTGCAGATAGATAGTGTCTTACAATCAATAACAGGTTACTTACTGCATCCTGTTCTCTGATAGAGTCAAAGACTATTGGCGCTGTAAAGTTTATTGAATGACTACTGCCACCCAAAAACCCTCAATTGCTACATACTTTCGCTTTTTTTCTCTTTCCTAATGCGACTCATCGGTCTCCTTTCCGTACTTCGCAGTGCTTTTCTCGTTTTAGACGTTTTGGGGACCTTCCCGTTCCCATTTGATCTACCTAGTTGTCTAAGACTTTCCTTCTTTAGACGTAGCTGCGTAGCCGTTGCAGCGTCAAGTTACCCAAATGGAGGGTAGCATTCGCCCGAGAAGGCAGTCAATCCTCATCGGACAACGGTCACTCGATGTGTATGGAGAGACCGAAAAAGGTATGGATTGCCTCTTTTTCTTTTTTCCCGAATT